TCATGAATTACACTATAATTTATAAAGGTTAGTAACTAAGATGTGTTTTAGTTTAAAAAATATGGAATTTTGAGCAGACTAAAGATGCATTTTCCCTCCTTGAATGAAATATTGGTTCAAAAGAAAGATGTGGTGTCAAGTCCATTAAAATGGCTGAGAAAGCCACTAGGGGGATATTCTGAGCTATCGATTGGTTATTCATGTCATATACAAAAGTAAGTGTATATAAGGGAGCATTTCCAAAAGTGATGGGGGGTGCCACTGTGTTTGATTTATTATATGAGCAATATCTTAGCAAATAGAAAAGATTTTATTTTATATTCTAGCTTGTCAATATCGATAATTTGAGTTTCTAATTTGAATCAGTGCTGCATTCAATATACCACGTGACACACAAAAATTGATATTTATCTGCATTTTTTAAATTAAAAAATTCAGTAATGTATAGTACTACAGTTTGATACCAAACTTATTTACATAAATTCATGAAATAGTAGTTCAATAAAATTTTTAAAGTGAGTCAACATGGCCTTTCACTCGTGATCATCTCAAAAGAGTTAAATAATGAAATATTATAGAAAATAGTTCTTTCTAGCTTTTCTGGAACAATTCATCCTGATAAACGTACTTGCTCTAATTCAAGAAAAATTATTTTATTTTATAAATTTTCAGGTATACTCCCCAGACTATTGAACTGGAACACAAAATAAAACCTTTTATTCCAGACTTCATTCCAGCAGTTGGAGATATCGATGCCTTTCTAAAGGTAGAGTATGATTAAATTCCCAGAACATGTAAATACTTCTAATGGTACTGCGGCTATTGTTTATATAATTTACTTTTATAACAGGTTTGCAGAACTATTACTATCATAAGTCCATGAAGTTTAGTTTACTTTTAGTTGGAATACTGTGTATGAAACCAAGGAGTGATGATAATGAGTATAACGACAAATTAAGATACTTTTTTTTTTTAAATGCTGCGTCACTTCATATTTTATATCTACTGTGAAATTTTAGGAAATATATGCAACTCCAAGTCATTAAGCTCAAAGTCAGGATAACTTGTTTGGCCATAGAATCATTTTACGCACATATCGTACTATATATATAATTGAGTTAAACATTCACATTATTTAATTTTTGTCAAAAGTTAAAAAATTTCCAAAATTCCTGTGCCATAAATGAACATATACCAGAAATCTGTCATGAAGTTAAAGAGTTAGCAATGTAAATAAAATTGAGTAGATCCCTGAAGTTTACTTTCCTGTTATGAGCAACTTGCTTGCTTGTTTGTTTTCTTTCCTATCCTATGTAGTATCAGGTAAACTGATAATGTTCAGATAAACAGTAGATTCGGGAAAAATGTTCAAAAAGAATAAATCAAACATGAACATCAACCAGAAAGGTGAACAGTATGTTTATTCAATATAAATGCAAAGAATAATAAAACATTTTAGGTTTTTTCTTAAAATGCTGGCCAGCTTCCAAGTATGTGATCTATAATTGCTCTGGCTGCTGGAGCTGTAGAGAGAGAGACATCTAGAGCAAAAACCCTTATATTTCTAACTTTTAAGTCAGAACCAAAGTTCCAGGTATGATACACCAAAATCCTAGATTAGCTGTGTTTACAATCATTTTCATAAACATATCTGAGGGTGACAAACTGCTAGATAATGCTAACTTTTATGGTACAAAAATTGGGTCTAAAAAGATGAGCTTTACATTGATTCTGTGGATGTAACCTTTGTCTAAGATAGAGGATTAGCTCAAATTTACAGCCTTTCACATCCTGTTCATGAGGATGTTCACTAACTAGACATAGAACAAAATAAATAAGTATTCAAAGAATAACTTACCCATTATATTCTTGAACTTGGGTTGGAATAAAATGCAAAACTATTTTCAATATCTTAATCTTTGTGTATTAGTCTAATCGGGCACTGCCCACTGAACTTTAAAAAAAGGAAAGAAAATGCATAATATATTCACAAAAAAATAATTAAGTATACCCGCATAAAGATACATTATTTTACAAGTTTTGTTAAGCAATTTCTCAACTATGACACCAACTTTGTCGAATACTATTCAAAGTTAAAGGCTTAAAACAAAAACAATTGACATTATTTAAGTAAATTATTTTCAAAATTCAGACAATTACACAAATATAGTACATTAGAGTTACATTTGTAGTCTCAAAACATTGCAATTTTGTTACTAATACACCATTACATCTTTAGTAGCTTAATTGACATTAACTCAACTTTCTTCACTTTTATTATTTTCTGATATTTGTGAATTATATATAGTAATTATGATTGAAAAGCTTAAAAAATATCTTGTTAATGGAAATAAGTGAAATATTAACTATTATAATTATAATTATTGTGAAATTGGATAATAAAAGACATTAATTCCTAGTTGCTGGTTATTGTGAACGAGTTTGATATATGTATAAAAAATAAAACATTCACTGTGGCGTACATAAATTGTTAAGCTGTAGTTGATCATCTTCTTCAGAATAAATTAAACTGTTATCTGTGTGTGTTGTTATGTGGCTATTATCTTTTACCAGTTTTGTCTTAAATATTTCAAATTGCATTTCAGGTTCCAAGACCTGACAACAAAGATGAGAAGCTGGGATTTTATGCTTTAGATGAACCTAGAGCAAAACAATCAGATCCAACAGTGTTAGACTTACAGCTCCGAGCTGTGACCAAAGAAACAACTACCAAAACTACAGTGAGATTTGAAGTTATTTTAATTAACAAGTTTCTTTTAAAGCCCAAATTTGATATTTATAGTCACTATATATATATATACTGTGCCCATCATTGGGTAAAATTGCAAAACTATGTACGATCTCAGAATGATCTTTCACATCCAGATGAATACAACTAGGAAGCGTATATGATGTTAAATGTTTATTCCATTTTAGAAATGAATTCTCAATGGTTGATTTTTACTTGAGGAACATTAGTTTATTTCACAATAATTCTTCCAGGCAGTTAAAAGATTGGACAATGCAGACAAAAACACCAAAGAAATTGACACATGGATTAACAGTATTGGACAGTTACATCGATCCAAGCCTCCTCCAACTGTTCATTATCCAAAGTAAGAAAATTATCAGTCTTAACTCTCAAGTATGCATGTTCCGTGTTTTATTTGATCTAATCAAGTTGCTTACAAGTAGTGGCATTTGATGACAATTAATGGCAACAGTAAAGATGAGAAGATTAATATTTTAATAACGTCTTTTCAATAGGTTGCCTCAGGAAACTGGAGCTAAGCTCATGCCTTTAAGGCACATGAAATGTACACCTTTAAGTTTTCAACAGATAAGTGGCACGAGTTGTTGAAAAATTAGCTACTTAACTAACCATAGTGATGAATTTTTTGCAAAACTCCTAATTCAACTGGCTTATAAAATCACTGTCAGCTGAGCCTGAAATACATTTAAGTAGAGGGAGTTATGAAGGATTTGTTGTAGTGTTTGAAACCATTAAAGCACATTATTTTTACTTAATACCTTCTTTGTCAGTAAATTAGATTATATCACTTGTTTAATTTGATAAATACACAAAATAAAATCTTACATTTTTCCAGTTATGGTTTAAGTTACATAAAAAATGGCCTGTGGTGCAAAATTTGCCATTCCACCAAAAAAGTTTAACTATAATGATTATCTACTGAATTTTGAACAGTTGCTGTAACATTTTTCTAAACAAATAACTTATGAATCTTTTAATGATTACAACTGTGAAAAGAAAGTAATAAATAAGTAGGAATTTGAGGCCATAAAAAAGGTTAATGTAATTTTAGTGATTGTAAAACAATAAAGAAAATAAGAATAATATTATCTAAAATAATGACTAAATGACAGAACTAAATTTGTAAAATTATATAAGCATCTATCAAAAACTATATAAAGGAAACTTTATTGACTGGAAATGACCATAGAATAAAAACAAACTGATTCTCATTCTGGTATCATGTATAAAGTCCCTGAAGATGGTTGTACTGTGACACTAATAGTCTCTTCCACAGTATCTATAATCACGAACTAGTGGGTTTCTATTTACGTTGTTATTATATAATCAAATGGATTATATAATATTGTGCTAATTTTCCTGTAGTCTTTCTTTATATTAACTCCAAAACTCTATCAAAAACTACATAAAGGAAACTTTACTGACTGGAAATGAACATAGAATAAAAACCAACTGATTCTCATTCTGGTATCATGTATAAAGTCCCTGAAGATGGTTGTACTGTGACACTAATAGTCTCTTCCACAGTATATATAATCACGAACTAGTGGGTTTCTATTTAAGTTGTTATTATATAATCAAATGGAGTATATTGTGCTAATTTTCCTGTAGTCTTTCTTTATATTAACTTACCATACATTTGTATAAAAGTGATGCTTAGGAAATTAGTTTCATATTCAGCCATAATGTATATGATCTAGTTGATAGCATTGTTATGATATCGAGGTTAACCCATCACCACGAGAAATGTTGACTTGAAGAATGCCCTTCTTTTAAACCAGTATATCATACCTTTATCATCTTCAGAGAAGATGAATATTTTGAGTTTGAGACATCTTAACAACAAATTCATTGTTTAACATTAACAGAACACGAACTCTTTATTCATAACATGCTGGTTTGTATTTCATCTTTGACATCATCATTATCATTTAAGAAAAATCTGGTTAAATATTGGTCTCTCAGACATATATATTAACCAGTATTCATGAGTTTTTTCATACATAGAAAACATTACTAAAAATGCTTATGCAAGACTATTTAAATGACATGTCTTTCCACAACTTCAGTGTAATGTTGCTGCACAGAAAATTTCTTTATACCTGTCGTATACAAAGACAGAGGCTATTTTGATTGGAAACCAACTAAGAAAGTTGCGCCATACCCTGAAGTTGAATTAAGATGTCTTTTAAAGTGTGCATGCAGCTTACAAAATATCTAATGTGGTATATAAATAAAAAATGTTCTTTAGGTTATATTGGATCTAACCACTAGGTGGTTGATTTGCAAATTTAAAATTAATGTCATTTTCAAACATCAAGAATGTAATGTAGAGGAGAATTTAAAATCCTTCCAAAGGCAAACAAGAACTGCATATTAAACCAGGACTGAATGAGTACAATTAGTTTGTTATTATTATCTTCAAACTGCAGAAAATAAAAGTAGTATAATAAATCTATTTACTGACATGATATATAAGGAAATTTATCTTAGAGTAAAATCTAACTTTCAGTTTTTATACTGTCACAGAAATATGCCCGACATTGACAGTTTGATGCAGGAGTGGCCTCCAGAGTTTGAAGAAATGTTGAAGGAGGTAACAAAATCAACTCTGTCAGATTTTTTTTCTCTTTCTAAGCTATGTCATTATCTTACTCAAACGATACTTTAAAATAGAATTAAAAAAATTCTACAACCACTAATGGATAATTTTATAGAGGTATTTAATTTCATGTGTACTTTCTTTAATAGATGTATGTACCTAATAATTTCAGGTTGGACTTCCTTCAGCAGAAATACAATGTTCTCTAGAAGATTATGTAGAAATTGTATGCTGTACGTATCAAGAATTTTCTTTACTCATTGAGTTGTAGCTAAAAAAAAACTATTCTAACAAGTGAATTAGAACTTGTGTACCATATTTGATTATAGTCAATTTGTTAAGCATGTTGTTTATTTTAATCTTATTGTCATATACACGTGCTAAAAAGAAAAATCTGGTAATGATAATTTTAATTAGATATTTAATGTGTGAATAGAAACTTCATAAGTAAAGGGCACAGTGTAGAGTGAATAGAAACTTCATAAGTAAAGGGCACAGTGTAGAGTGAATAGAAACTTCATAATCAAAGGGCACAGTGTAGAGTGAATAGAAACTTCATTTCCTTCCACAGTAATTAAAATAACGTACCTGTGAATTTTTGAATTCTGAAAATAAAGTAAAAAGTACATGAAGAGACTGGACTTTAGACTTGTAAATTGGAATGTCCAGAAGAGCTGCAAGTAAAAAAATTAAAGAGCACTTAACATTAATTGGTTTTTAATATTTATTTATACTACACTGTGCCCTTTACTTATGAAGTTTCTATTCACTCTACACTGTGCCCTTTACTTATGAAGTTTCTATTCACTCTACACTGTGCCCTTTACTTATGAAGTTTCTATTCACTCTACACTGTGCCCTTTGATTATGAAGTTTCTATTCACTCTACACTGTGCCCTTTGATTATGAAGTTTCTATTCACTCTACACTGTGCCCTTTGATTATGAAGTTTCTATTCACTCTACAATGTCCCCTTTAATTTTTAAGAGACAGATTATGATTTCAACAATGGAATTTACCAAATTAACTTAAGATGTGTTTAATTTCAAAGTTTAATTAATAGCATCATAACTGAACTTATAAGAAGGATTTAATATCCAACTTCTAATATTGAAAACATTTCTTCTACAGCACTTTAAAACATTGGCCATGAGGAACCAAATGGACAATTCAGCAGCACCAGGAGAAACAGATCAACTTGTGTTATGGGGAAACCAGTGATTCTGGTTAATCTTTTTTATTGTACAGAACAGTTGCACACTTTTAAACATCAATTGTTATTATGTATTCAGCCGTTTTTGCTTTAAGCATGTGTAATATAACATCAGCATACTTACTCCATAAATTTAATATATCACTAGTATAAGAACCTCTTCGATAATAATGGAAAGTGCCATAGCTGTAATTTTTTTTTAATAGCATTCATCTCCTAGGGTGTAGAAGGCACAAATTTATAATATCTATCATGCTTGAACAAAGATTTATTCTAATTTATCATGCATTATTTAATATTTACTTGAATTTAAAAACATTATATTTTAGAAGAAAGTCATTTGTTTTAATTCCAACATTTTAAAAATTACACTAAAGAAATTCAAAACTGTTAATTACTTAAATTAACCAAAGTTCATCACTAAATACAAGCTTAATTTCTATAAATCAGAATGAGTACAGTACCAAATAGTCAAGTAAAGCTATTTTCAGTTGTGTATACATATCAGATTCCTTGGTTCACAAGTTACCGTTTACTACAAGACACCTTGTTTAGTTTAGATGCCGCCACAGTCCATAAGCGTAACCACTGCTGAAGACTTCTTCCTTCCACCATGTTATTGGGAAGAGCAAATTGACCTGGTTGCTCCCACCTTGTATTTAAAATAATAATTATTAAAACCATTCCTGAGAATTAGTGTACGAGTTTTCCAGTGAACCATAAATAACTTATAATTCAATTATTCAAAACGTTTCTTGAATTAATATGTACCTTAGATCATAATGAATTTTGTACATCAATAAAAAAGAAACCTACATCACCTGTATGTATCTTCATTAGCTCAGTTTCACTATTACAGCTTTGTCAGGAGTGATAGATATCTTACAAGTTCAAACATTGAGCTAATAAGGATACATTCTGGATACAAGTCATTATTGTGTTTATTACAAGACATTTAAGGTAAACTCCAGTTTGCATTAAACAAAGTTAAGAAGAAGAATTTTATAGACCTATTGATATTTCCCTAATGAAAAAACAAATCTGACAGTGCTCTTATAAAATTAACATTGGGTTACTATCTGATTAGAAAGAAATTTAAAATTTTTAATTTGCCAATGTTGTCCTAAAATGTTCATATTAAACAAAATACTGAAGGGACTTATGACATGAAAGCCCTGGGCCAGAAAGACTATCAAGGACATTGTGAGACAGTGCCTTCACTGAATCATCCCTTTTTTTATGCAACTACGATCAGTATATGTGAACAAGTACCAGGAAAACACCACCAAAACAAAAATTTGATTGGAAGATGTAGATGAAAGACAGTCTCTTACCAGTATTGTACTTGGAGCCTTGAAAAATGTGAATTTCTGGATTCTTATTGTTAGAAAAAATTGCAAGGAATACAGTCTATCATATGCATTCTAATTGTGTAATTGAGAAGTCATAACAACATACACAGAAATGGTAGACAAATCTTAAACATCATTTAAAGCTATTTTGAGACCTTTTCTAAACTGGGTAACATATACACGTGAGAACTGTTTTTTTTTTCTTTCCTGAACTGATAGTTATTATGAAAAGATTTGCAAGTCATTTTAAGTACTTACTAAGCCTAATTAGAATAACAGTGTAAATGGTATAAGAAGTCAATTTTCCAACAAAGTTTGACCAGAGAACATGTTTTAAATTACTACTAAAGAAGTCCAATTCATTTAACATTTCTGTTAATTCATGCAAAATATCAAATCAATAATTTTTAGGTACATAGCACTTCTCAGACTTAAACTAATGAGTAATTAAACATGCAGAGGCAATGTTAATCATTGTGGTCATATGAGGATTATGTCATCACTGAAGTGCTAACACTAAATAAGTAAACAACTGTTCACTCATTAGGCCAACCTACTGGCCTCAGAAAAAGGAATCTGCAATCATTACCACGAACTTTAACATATAACCTGGGGTATTGGTCAAAGCTCAAGTGGTTCTTATTCGCCTTATTTTCATCACAGGCCAAAATATACAGTGTATTATTTCATGTTTTAGTCAGAGTTAAGAATTATGTATGAAATAAAAGATTTTTTTAAAACAAATGCACGATTTTGAGTCATGAATTCAGTTATTGTTTTATTTGCTTGAAATATGAAACCTAAGTTAGTTAACCTTGAGATAAAGTTTCCTGAATAATAGAACATTCACATAATCCATTATTAGTAACCCTTAGTCCACTACTGGACTGCTTCAGTAAGAACTCACCAGTCATGCAATCTCTCCTGAATTCTAGAACACTCTGATATTCCACTATTGGCAGCAATGATTCGAGCCAGTACAACAGGAAGCAGTTTCTCAATCAACTTCTTATCCTTCGCTTCAACTTGCTGAGCTACATCTGAGAAATAAATTTTAAGAGGATATTTTCTTTTAAATAAGGTTATAAATATTATTAGTTCTTAAATTTAACATTTTATCTTATATAACAATAAGCTGCAATGAAATAAATTAAAGTAATGTTACGACAGCGGAAATCACGTGATGCTGATAACATGTCATGAGTTTCTAGAAGGATCATGAATGTTCTTGGCAACTCTAGTCTTTTTCCAGGCACCCTCTATTTTAATATATAAGCCTGGCAAATAAAGCGGAGAGGAAGACTGACGGCATATATAATAGCAGATTGAAGAGAGATATAGAGAGACAGATAATTGAGTCAAGTGAGCGGTAGTGACCATAAATAAAGTGCGTGAATTGTTGTACGTTATAGCGTGTGTTTTAGTTAAAGTGACTGTGGAAATTCTGTGTATAGCAAAGTTGTATCGAGAAAGAATAAACTAGTTTTATTTAAGAAAAGACTTATCACTGAAGTTCCTCGGGAAGAATCTTTACAGGAAATTATCAAACGAACAGAGACGTAACAAGTGTAATATAAAAAGTGGAAAGTGGTCATATAAACGAATTCACCAAATTATGATTCTTCAAACTTTATAATATAAACATGTTTATGGAAATAATCCCCTAACGTTATTACGTTTTTACACGATGGACTTGATGTAACTATAAAAATAATTTTTAAAATCACTAAGAACCTTTTACTTAACCCTTTTCAGCCCATTAAAGATTTTACAACAGTACATAACATTAAGTTAAACATTTTCTGTTTAATATTTTCCATCAAATCACCTGCAAATAAAACAGTAGTGAGATTTCAGACTTTGTTTTCTTGAAAGTAATAGTTCAACAGTTAACTTTAATTTCTATTTTTTTGCTTCCCACTGTGTTAACATACAAAAAATACCTGGAAATCTGTTGTCCTTATACTTGTCGCTTATTTCTAGCTCAAGTAGTTTGAATAATTTGTTTAAGTTGCTGATGTAAAAACAAATGTGAAATTCAACTAAATATAATTTATTTTATAAATTCTAAAACATTAAAGCTACGATTATGTATTTTCCTCAACCTAATTTGCTGTAAGAGATCCCTCTTTTCATTGAATTGATTGTAAATCTTTAAACTTAAGTTACATCAGAAGCTTTTTTTGATCACATTCCTTCAAACAATCTAATTATAACATTTTTTTGGGATGTTAAAGAAAAATAAGTTAATTTTATTGTTTATTTTGTTCAAGTAACTATTTGGCAAACACTTTTTTTGCTATACTAAAACTTGAAAAGTTGCACTGATAGATGGCAGTGCTAGTTGAGAAAAACTATTTTGTGAGAGGAAGTAAAACATCATATCAGAAACAGATTTACATCAATTTTAAAGAGCACAAAGGGAACTTTTATACGCAAGATAAATTTAGAAATGTCATCTACTTATTTAGTTTTAAAGATATTTCAATAAAGTGTGCTAGCAAGTAACATCATTAGGCTGAATAGTGTGTGAAAGTTGGCTTTCACGTTAACCAGTTATGGCCATTTGGCATCCAAAACAGTATATATATCTATGTCACAATAATTTTAATGAATCACAAAAACAAAACAAAAAAGAAATAATATTTATTTGTGTTTCCAATATCTATGTTTCACATTACAGTGGCTTTATGAGATATTAGTTTTTAGGTATGCAGATACAAAAATGGCCAGTATAATGCCACAGGGCTGAAAAGGGTTAACATGATTCAGTAAAAATTTTTTTCAATTCCTGCTAGAATAGACATATTGTTCATATATCCTACTTTATTAATATTTTGTATGAACTTCAAAAATTCCCAAATGATAAGTTTTAAAAGTGTTGAGATCTGCTTAATTTACTATTGGAGGTGGTTAAAAATGTTTAAATAAGTTATTCATCTAAAACTGTACATTAAACACTAGAGATGTGCCACTCTGAAATCTGACTGATTATTGATTAACTGATGCTGATTACTAATTAGTTAAACACCATCAAACTTAGTCAACTTACTGCTTTTTACCACTAGGATATTTATACTTTTTCTTCCCCACAGAAAATTTTATATTTGTTTCATGTAATTTACTTGTTTTTATACACTGAACTAGTATTTAAACAGTGAGTTGATTAAGGAAGTAGAATTATAAGTGGTGCAATTTTTATGTTTCATTTTCCATTTTATTAATTATGTATTGCAAGGTATGAATACTTAAAAACAAAGTAATAAACATAACACTTTACAGTCAACAGTCCATTTATTGGAGAAGTGTTCTTTATTATTATTATTTTGGCAAATGGATAATATTACTTTTATCTACAATTATTAATATTGCTTAAGTTGCACTTTTTTTTATTAATTAATTTTGAACTTTGCATATGAACATTAAAAAAAAGTTCAATTTTTAATTTCTATACTAATCAGTGGCAGCCTGTTTTTTAAAAGTATGTACTGAAGGTAAATAGCAACACTGGAACTTACCAGACATTATGTAATCTGATGAACCTTTCTGGGGTTTCATTTTGTTCATTTTTTCTAGCAAGAAAATCTGACTATCACATTTTGCCTTTTTTTTAGCTATTACACTTTTCAGTAAAATGGCTTTCTTTAAAAGTAAATCTGTGCCCTAGAAAGAGAGAAGGATAGAAAAACAAAAAAATTTGGTGTTTACATTAATTACTACCAGGTAATATAATCACTTACATTACAACTTTTATGGAATCATCTTTCTAACAAATATTATTATAACTGAAAAAGCTGATAAGTGAAAAGAAACTCTGGGCTTGAACCCAGGACCTTTGGGTGGTGGTAAATCAATCCACTAATTGCCTGACCACAAGTAGTATGGACTTTCATAATCATTGTTAAAAAGCCTTATGAGTGAAGAGAAATGAGGAGAGTTTTTATGCCTTGTCAGAACATTGGCACCGTTAGTCAAATGTCTTGGGTTCAAGCCCTAGTCTCAGGGCTTCTTTTCATTTATTGGCTTTTTTCAAATATAATAATGTTTATTACAAAATTGACTTTCCCTAATTCATATTATGAATTAAATTTTATAGAAAAATATACACACATGAATAATATTTACTACTCTATGATGCATGGGTCTAAGGACCACCCATAAATGAAATCTTAAAAATATTCATTCGTAGCTTATTTTCCTCAGGCTATGTTATAGGCGTCTCATTTTTGTCATCAGACCAGAGGGAAAGGTAGAACATATTAAGGAAATAATTAATAAAATATACTTCTATTTACAGATATAACATACATCAAATTTTAAGTCTGTGTTTGTAACAATAACATCCAAATTACAAAAAAAATTAAACTTTATTTAAATGCACTGTTTTAAACCTGCATAAAGAATGCACAACAATTAATAAAAAACGATAATCAATTGATTATCATAGTGTAGACCTCCCCATAAACATTTTGCCCAAAGCCATTTTTTTTTTTTAACTTAAATAACTTTTACCATTGTTTACAATTGGTCCAATTATTCATAAATATGCCTGTGATCTTGATGATGATGATTTTGAAAGTGAGAAATCTGACTTAGATCTAGTGAAAGTGAGTGAGCAGAGTCCTGTAGCAGGCCCTTCAGGTGTGAGTACAGGGAAAGGTAAGGGAAATACCAGTGTTGCTGCTATGAGGAAAAGAAAAGCAGGGTCTGTATCTAGATCTAACAAGAGAAAGAGAGCAGTTGTAGGAGATTGTGAGAATAGTGAATAACTAAAATGAACTTTTCATTCTGCGAGTCACATTGAAACATGACGCTGAATTCGGATGAAAGCCATTCACCACTGGATTTCCTCAAAGCTTTTTTTGATGAAGAAATTGTGGCCACTTCGATTTCTAGCATCAATGCATATGCAGCAAAGGTTTGGAGAAAAACAACCCTTCAACAAAACTATCATTATTTGCCTCATGGATGCCAGTTACTTATTATGAATGGTTAAAGTTTACAGAAGTTTTGATTGCTTCTGGTTTGGACCCTCAACCCAAAATCAGGGACTACTGGTCCACCACTGGATATCTCTACACACCCTGGTATCATCAGATGTTTGCTAGGGAGGGTTTGAGATCATTTACCATAGAATGCTTCATGTCTGCAAACAAGATGATGAAAACCAAGCAAAGATTGAGCCATTTGTGGAAAGTTCCAGGCTGCCTTCTACCCATATGAAAATGTGTGTATTGATGAGATGGTTATTGAGTGGAAAGGCAGATTCAAGAACAAGCAGTTCAATGTAAGCAAGCCCCAAAAATATCACATCAAGACATTCAGGCTTTGTAATTCTGCAACGAGCTATGTTGTCAATTTGAAAATTTATTTCTAAAAGGATACAGCATATGACCTTGATATCATCTCTGCTCATGCTGTCAAAGTTTTTGACACTCTTCTGAAGCTACCAGGTGGTGAGGTGGTTTTTGGACTCGGGAAACAAAACAATAACCAAGCATGCCTAGACTGCTTTGAAAAAACATCCTCCATTACATTTTCTTGTGTTCATTTTAGCCTCGTCTAAAGCCTGTATTTGCTCTGGAGATAAAGAGTTAATAATGTATATGCATTTATTTGCTTTCCAATTCAATCAGTTTTTCATCAAGCATTTGCTTCACCTTTTTGAGTGTCATTTTCTTGTCCTTTGTACTTCTATGAAGATTGTTGGACTTAGTGATAAGAGTCAACTTCCCAGTGGTCTCAGTCTTCAGGGCCAGCTTGTCAGCAGATGTATGAAGAGCCTCATTATCATCTTGGAGCCTTGTTCTCTTCGGTTTGAGTTCATACATTTCATCAAGCAAGGCCTTCCTTTCTTGGCTTTTATCCTCCTCCTCTTTATTTTTTTTTGTCATTTCTGGTCATCCAGAAGTACAATTAATCTCTGTCTTGCAGCAGATACAGACTCTTGTCTATGATTACCTCCTCTTTATTTTTTTTTGTCATTTCTGGTCATCCAGAAGTACAATTAATCTCTGTCTTGCAGCAGATACAGACTCTTGGCTATGATTACCTCCTCTTTATTTTTTTTGTCATTTCTGGTCACCCAGAAGTACAATTAAT